CTCGAACAAGGAGAACAGTACAGAGTCTTGGTTGCGAGCTCTGGTGCAAACTCGTCAAAGGTCAGCGAATGGGGGCACGCGCGTCGAATGGCTAGGAGGGAAGTCACAATGAATACAAGTAAGTTGATATCGAACGCTCGGATTAGGAATAGCGAATTGAAGCCAATGATTGGAAGGGTTTAGGTCGTGTTCTTTAAGCTAGGCTCCACCCACGATGTGGGAGGGATGCCCACGTAAAATTTTGTAGATGAATATAAAGGTGTATTTACTCTGTACTGACATATTCGCGTTCAAAAGTACATGACAGCTCATGTCGCACAAAGAAGTCCCCATTTTTCTGGGCACCCTTCGAGATACCTACAAGCTAAGAATAAGAAGGGATCCAAGGGATATAAGACCACTCACCACTACGTCCAAAGATCAAATGCCAAGATGGACGAAAGGAATCCAGTCCGTAAGCTGAACCCCTGGCCGCTCGCGAAGCTTTTGGACCGAGAAATGCAACGCCTCCGCAGCCTTACTAGGGTCTGGTCGCTCTCCTTCCTTCATAATGTGTCCATAAAACTCACTTGTCACCATAGGTGCGAGCTCGTCCTGAATAGACCACATTGTCGCCACCACACTCCGGTATCCAGCTAGAAGCATCCCGCCTGCGATATGCACGGCTTCTTCTGAGAGTTTTTCATCTCCTGTGGTTGTTTGGCAAGCGGATAAAAACGCAAACTCGGCCTGGGGAAGGTTGAGCTTGATGATTTCCTCGAGGGTAAGTTGGCCGTCTTCGAGGAGAAGTGCAGTTTTTGTTGGTTCATCTGGGCTCTGAGATCCATGGCAAGCAAGGTGAAGCCAATTGCATTTCTCCATTTCCTTCATCACCCGTCCCTTGGTTCCTGCTTCGCCCTCCAGCACGATATGGTCGCGATGAGCAAGATGACGTCGGATGGATTCCAATTCGTTCCTGGTATTAGGAATAGACGATGCACCGGGCGCCGACGATTGGATGACTGACAAAAAGCTGAAGGATGAGGTGGCGGGAGGTCTAGATTGCGCGAGTAGGGTGGATAGGGTAGGAATATAGGACGATATGACATAGTTGCCGATCTGCGAGTCCTTCGAATCCGGACCATATATGCCAGCGGCATGGATTGGGAGGAAAGCGAGCGGTCCGGTAGCGCACCACCAGATTCGCGGTAGTACATCAGGATGAGGCTGTAGGCATTATCAGGAACATAAAATAAAGACAATTGAATGATCTCTACCGAAAATGCTAATGCGTTCAAGACCGGCTTGACCAAGTTGCTCCAAAGTTCTGCGAGAACTTCCCTACAATTTCCCTCGCTACTTTCATCCGTAAATTTCATCGCCGCCCGTGTATCTCTCATCCGAATTCCACTCGAGTATAGATAATCCTTTAGGTCATTTCGAAGCTCGGCCACTCGTTTAGACGTGATATTGGGGAGAGGGATATGGATAACTTCCTCAAGTCCCGGCAAGAGCGCGAGGGCGTCGCACCGTGTGTTGGTAATATTGAGAACGACTACGGGACCGTTGAAAGCCGCATTCACAAGTTGGGAGAACCTTGGTGGATGCAAAAAGTCTTCGAAATCCGGAAGTGCTCGAACTTGTCTGATGATGGATTCCCGTTCTGTCGTCAGCGATCGATATTTCCGCCCTTCTTCTTCTCGATTTGACTGCCCATTATCAGGGAAGCCAAGTTGAGGAGAGCTACGGTCCAGTAGCTGAGAGACTCGCAATAATCTGTCAGCAAGATCAAAATCGACCTCGCGGAGCTGATCAACGGGAGTTCTAAGCTGGAGAACTTGAGTCCAAACAATTGAACGACCCTGTTCCAGCCATTCTAAAGCCCTTTCATATTCTTCGGCTGAAATTGCAGCGGCTGCAGCGGCTCGGGCCATTCCCCCTATTCTGACAAGATGCTGGTATCGATCTGCTATAGGGAGACCTAGCCACGCGACGAGTGGTATCAAGTCAATTGCGCATTCGTACGCAGCCAACAAGGACTCATGACCGATGACAAATGCAATCTTGATCCATTGTTGTGCAGCTCCGAAACGAATGGCCGAGGGTCCTCCTGATGACGTTGCGGCAGCAGAAGAGTAGAACATAGATATTTTAGCATCCTTAAGATCGTAAGACTGAGCAATACGATCTTTAAAAGTGAGAGAAAGGTTCAATAACTGACGAGGTCTGTCTACATGACCCATTGGTATAAGATCAAGACTCTGTTCTTGATATTCAATTGCACTGTCGATGTCTTCAGGGTCCTTCAGTAGCTTGAATCTCTTCACTAAAAATTTTCCGAGATTAGATAAATACCCGTGCTTGTTCGGATGAGCATCCGATGTTAAGTCCACTGCTAGTTTCGATCGCTCTATTGCACCATTGATATCGTCGGGACTTTGAGAATGGTTGAACCTTCCACTAAGGGCCGATGCAAGATTACTC